GGTAGCGAGAAACAGTTGTAATCATGGGTACATCTTTTAAAAAGAGCGTAAGAGTTATACCCGTGCCACACGGGCAAGTAAATGCCATTACAACGAATGACATTCGAGCGGACGGCCAATCAGCTCGCAATCTGTTGCGCGTGGAATGCGCTACACCCGGAGTGTCGCGCGCTGATTGGCCGTCCGCTCAAATGTAATTCGTTGTAAAAGCCATTCGAGTTGGCCGAGTGGCATGGGTATTAAACGCAGTAAACCTTAATGGCTGCAAATAGATTGGACGGGATGTTTCGATCATTACCATGCAAAAAGATGTAAGAAACGAATGTGCCGCCCACCTCTGTTTTGTTCGGAGCTCAACTCTGTTTTGTTCGGAGTGAATGTGACCGCTCAGACGGCAGAGTCCCGGCCCTCGGCGCCTGGCGTACGGATTATGGCGATCGTTCCGCTAGTTGCGCTCTCCTCCGTGATTTTGATGACCATGATTGAAACATCGCGTGCACCACATTTTGAGTCACAGAAAGTTACTCCAACGCACTTATCAATTTCATTTCTTGCAACCACCACCAAGCTATTATTTCCGACTACAGGATGGCCACATACGAATGTGTGAAGACGCCCTGGAACACGCCCAGTCCGGCTTCGGCCAATCGTGTCTCCTCATTTCCCTCCTATACTTCCCAACGAATGGCCATGGAAACTCTCGATATACGGCTCTCGCACCGCCCAAGATCTCTCCCCCTTTTTTCGAGTGCTGCTCTTATGCGCCGCTTTCCTCGTCGACGGCGACGGACGACGGCGTCGGCGTCGCCCGTCGCCGTCGCCGTCGGCGCAACCGCGCGCTTTCCCTCATGGCACATCACGGGCCTATGCACCAATTTTGTTCCCCTTTAAATTTAGCGAACAAACTGAATTTGTGCGTAGGTCCTCCATGTCCCATAAAGCCGCACTGCTCATTCATTTTCCCTGTTGAATTCAGGGGCAAAGCTGACTTACATGATCTCAACATCAATTCAGTTTCCAAGCTAAATTTCGCGGAGAAAGCGGCTTTGTATATAAGTCACGTGACATGAAGTTCATATGATATCACTTTCCCCGCTAAATTTAAGTTGGAAACTAAGTTCGTGTTCTGGTCATTCGACGTCAATTGTCTCGCTAAATCTATTGGAGAAACTGAATATTTTTATAGGTGACGATATGAAGTCACGTGACGCCATTTTCCATGGTGAATTTAGCGTGGAAACTGAATTGGAGTTGAGGTCACGTTTCGTCAATTTTCCTTTAAAATTTAGCGGGGCATTTGTTGCGTCATGTAACGTCACAGGCTACGGCTTTCGGTCCTTGCACTTTTTCCCCTTCCTATAATACTTATCTTTGATGCATATGTATGCACTTACGGGCCCCAGGTTGGCTACCCAATCCAGTCTGGTAGGGGTAGCATTGCGTTTTGTGACCCTGAACGCCTGAGTAATTCCTCCACTAGGACAAATAAAGTATTATTATAAAAAATGGGGATGAATTGGTGAAGAATCGCACCGGATGTGTTATGACCACATTACGTTGTTGTGAAAGGTGGCAAAGCTACCGGGCGATACAAAAGGTTTGGACGTGTAGACATTGACATCAATCAATTCATAGGAAGGTCGGTTTTCGATTCGGCAGGATCTGGTCGGTTTCACGAGCTTTTCGTGCGTGCTTTTTGTGGAGCTGTTTCCATCTGTAGAGTCGGGTGTTAAGTGGAAGAAATACTTTGAGCCTGGGTGAGCTCTCGTGCTCTAGAAAGCGATTGCCTGGAGGAAACAAACGAATAAAAACAAGCGAACTTTGGATGAAACCGGCGAACCTGTAAGTCAGAAGACCCCTGCTGAGATTTTCAAGGGGTAATATTTTTCGATGTATTCTTGTGTTACTTTTCTAAACGTGTTTTGCCGAGACGTAGCCTTGACGTGTGTGTTCACTGAGCACCAATCTTGTTCGGAATATTCTCACACTCCGTAGATACGCACGCAAAACAGATGAACGTCCAAGCAAGGTCATTTGCATGCACCTGTATTGGGTGCGAAGAACTTCACGACACAATCTCAGTGTATCGTGTTCCGTAAAAATAGTTCATTTATTACGTTTCTTCGGACACCATGATCATACGTTCGGGCAACTTAAAATAATTTTACTTCACCTGAGTCTGATGTGTGCGTAGCGCTGTAGCCGATGGTCACACGAATGCCCGCAAAGAAGGTACGCTCCTCGAGACGCAATCATGCTTACGTGTTAATATAACCAAGACAGATCTTGACCAGGACTGACCAAGCTGGTTCTTCAGCTATTGAAACAGTTTTATGATTTTATTTTAGTAGACCTAATTTGTATTCAAGGAACCCTGGGAACTTTGGCCAAGCACCACTGCTAGTAGTTTGTTTTCGGAATTTAATCACTGAACTTCATGTCTTTAAACACAAATTATGAACATGTCATATAGGTGATGTTAACATAATATCCAGGCGAAATTTTGAGTTAAAGGTGTACCCAATCGAAACCTGATATATCTCGCTACCAAAATAACGGTTTGAAATTAAATCAGAATGAATCTGGAGTTTCAGTCTGTCATATGAAAGCAGAAACTAAACCGGAAACAAGCAGTCTGGAGGTCTAACCATACTTGGTCAAATTGTAAGCTAAATCGGATTTGGCCAATACCGGGAATTTAACTGTAGTGGCTTGAAACCGGAGATAAAGCCCTATCAGGCCACTTCGGACAAAAAAGGAATTAGACTAAACAAAGCTGTGCTCATTTTCACTTTCTGGTGTGCTGAAGCTGATGCTAAGAGTCTTTCGAATCAATCCAGTGCTTTAGAGCATGTCATTAACTCTTCGCCAAGAGCCTGCGGCACGGAATGCTTTGAGTCTTGCAACATGTTCACTGTGCTTCGTTGTTAGGAATAGCTCATAGCATCTACAGTACTGCATCAGTGGTGAAACAGAACATAGTCAGTGTTGGCTGGTCAGAAATATCACTGGAACTAAACAGGCATAACAACACACAGCAAATTCTGAAAAAAATATTTATATTTATTCTTAAAACACAGAATTACACGAAATTTGAGAAATCGTACATTTATAAATTCATTGAATAATTCTACAAATACCGCTCTACAGAGGTGTGCTCCTCTAGCACGGTCCAGGTAACGACGTTAAATGTGTCCGTCCGCTGCATCGTCGGCATAGGGCGGGTCCTTGGGGCCTTCCCGTAGAGAGTGACCGCTGTCAATTGCCCACGGTCCCCTGGACAGCCCCTTACGTGCCATAGTCCTTGGTGGCACAGTCCACCACGAGCCTGACCGCCAAGCCGTTCCAGTGGTGGAGTGTGACGACAGTGCTGTCCACGAGGCATCTTCGTGGACAACACAGACGTTGAGGGTTGAGCCTGACGCCATATTCGCACTCCTTCCAGATAGGTCGACATAATGGATCTGAGGTGGGCACGATCTTCTACCTCCCTCCCCTCTCTTCAAAAGGGAAGAGATCCGTGGAAGCAGAAAAGCACCCCCAAAATGAGAAAGGCAAAACAAAGGGAAGGAAAAAAAAAAAGGTTCCTTTCCTTTTGGTGTCGCCGACGTCGCAGGTTATACCACCATCGTGGAGACGAGGGGCCTTCCGGGAAGGGAATGCCATTAGTGTCGTTCCGGTCCTGCGAGTAATCTTCGTCTTCTGTTTTGAAAAACTTGTTTAAGGTAGGTGACGTGAACAGTTCCGGTTTATTCACTGGACTCGCACAGTGGTGGAACTGACAAGCGGTAATTTGGAGCAGCTCTTATAGCGGGGGAAAATGGGTTTTGGAGTAGAGATTCCCACTTTTGGAGCAGCAAATTTTGAGCTTTCTGTCGGAAAATTTCACAAAATTTTTCGAAAGTTAACCTGTGGACAAAACTGCGGTTGTTGGTGACTAAACTGTCTTTTCCTCTACAGATATCTATTTATTTATCGAATAATCATACACCGGCAATTTTTTAGATGTCTCAATTAACCTATTAGGAGTACCGCGATGGCGTCTTCGGTCTGTGTTTGACAAAAACAGATGTCGTTGGCTGCTTTGTAGAGGGTTTTATCACGGTGACGTAATAGTTGGAAGTTTGACATGTGGAACTTCTTGCAAGAACAAATTAGAGTATATGGGTGATTTCAGATAAGATCGACCAAAGGGTGGCTGGTCGACATTTTTAAATCAACTGATGTTTTTATATGACATTGTCTAGTGTGGTATAAACGAATCCACACTTAGTTTTGACCAGAAAAAAAATTTGGAGACAAGAAAAATCGTAAGGCAGGGAGAGGCGGACAGTTGCAATAACGCGCCCTGATGGAGGGGGCAAGTTTGAAAGTGAATAATTAAAACAATAAAATTAGGAGAATTTTAAAACTTTTTACAAACAAACTATGGGTACAACTTGCTTGTAATATAAAGTAATATTATTTATTAAAAATTTATTTAGTTTTCTAAAAATTTCCAAACATGCCTGCTCGAACGACAAATGGCAAACTTTGGAAATCTGTATCTCATGAAATAATTTAATCATTATTACATAACTTGCAGACATTATTTTACTAATATATGGCTATTATTGAAAAAATAAATAAGGTATCTGAGTGACACAATAGTTACAATATATTTAGGCAAACATGGGAAAAAAATCAAACAAAGAAAAATTCCAATGCGTATAAAAAAAAAACACCACCTTCGATTTTTTTTTAATTTGGGTACCCTGTTATA